CAGCAAACTACCTAGAAAAAGTTTTGCAAAGAAAAAAAAGAGGCAATGGGTTGCTCTTTTGTAGTAATTGGAACTAAGAGACAGTCATTATCTACTGATTCACTTTGTGGATGTCCATTAAATTATACAAGTACTTCATTTAAATCAGCTTTAATCAGCTACATCAAAGGCATTTGTTTCACTCAAAGAGAATTAATAAAACCTGTTATCCCAAAGGCAAATGGTGGTAACATGAGAGTGGCAAGCAATGAAGGGGGGGGATAGAGGAGAGAGAGAAGAAAGAACAGATTTTATTTTTCCCTACAGCTATTATTCTTCAAAGAATCCTATTTCCAAGTTAACCAACAGTCATTCTGAAAACTTGAAAGTCACCTTCACTTACAGAAGTGGTCTCATACTATATTGGATAAAGTTTAATACAATAGAACATTGTAATTTATTTACTATGCTAATTCTAGGCAATGTTTCTCCTCCCAATTACCTCTTCAGGGGTGCAAGCAAACAGAAATTGAACATTACTCAAAAAGTTTTCCATAAAATATAAACTGACAAGTTATTCTGTACAGTATCACATCTTTATTCTTACTACCTATTCTTATACTTGTGAGTTGCCGCAATACATTCATACACAGCACTGCATCTATTGTGCATTTCCATATACTCATGAACTTCCTAACTGTACTGCATGCTGACTTTCAGACATCAGTCTATGGAGACAAGCAGCCTTTTATTTGCTTTAAGCTGCTTGAGGAGGGGAAGTCTACCTTCACTGTATGAAAGCGATTTTACAAGGGCCTGTAGTGACATGACAGTAGGGAATGGCTTTAAAGAGAAAGGGGGCAGATTTAGATTAGATATTAGAAAGAAATTCTTCACTGTGAGGGTGGTGAGATGGTGCAACAGGTCCCCAGAGAAGTTGTGGATGCCCCATCCCTGGAAGTGTTCAAGGCCAGGTTGGACAAGGCTTTGAGCAGCCTGGTCTGGTGGAAGGTGTCCCTGTCCATGGCAGGGGGGGTGGAACTAATGATCTTTATGGTCCCCTCCAACCCAAACCATTCTATGTACACCCCATTCCCTCTCAGGCTGTCGTCCCAGATAATCTCAAGTTCTTTCTAGAGTGCTCCACACTACGTGTACCACTGATCAGCTTCAAATATTACACTTAACCTAAAAAGCACATGTAAACCCTGACCTCAAAACTGCTTCTTTAACAAATATGTTAATTGGTACACATGCCAAACCTAATATAACTTCAAAGGCTCCCCAAAACTGTAGAAACCCCAGAGAAAGGTGTAGCAAAATAGTGAGAAGACTTCAGCTCTTAAGTGTCCTAGAATAAGGCTACTAGAAGATACTTTAATTTCCTCTACCCTTCCAAATTACTGCAAAAAAAAAAAAAAAAAAAAAAAGTTAAAATTAACCCAGAACATGGGGTGGGGGGAAAATTCATACTCAGTATTCTCTCAATAAGGCAGAAAAACATAACTTGGTATGTGATTCCCCCCCCTTTTAGATTCAGTAACTACAAACCATCGTTCTCTTGTATTATAGCATCATGCATAATTACCATCCAAAGCACTTGCAAGAACCCTCTAAACTGCTTGTTTTGCAGCACATGAAAGCTCACCTTCCTTCAGGTAAATATGGAAAAAGTCTTTAGTACTTGCCCAAATGCTGTTTGAAATTTATTTCACAATGATAAAAATGAAAAGATTTTACAATTTTCCCTACTACAGAAAATTTCCAAAGTTAAGATTTCTTATCATAAATAAAAAGAGTAAACTAAGTAAGTTACATCTTAGAGGTTTATATTAAATATAAATGGCTTATACTTCATAACACAAAGAGTAAGTGTTCAGTATTTCTTTATAAAATTTAAGATACACAGGCCTTGTACATATGGCTTCATTAACATACAGTTTGTTCTCAGTCATATCCATCAACACAAATAGCATCTCTACATAAAAGATGCATCTTAATGATTTCAATGAAGTGCAGTATACTCCATTAGAGAGAACGTGTTTTAATTAACAGTTCTAATACCAGTTACAGTGTACAATATTTTTGCCAACCTACTGTGTTGTGATTATACAAAAGAGGAAGAGACCAAATCATACAGCACTCATCGCAGTACAGACCCCAGTACAGGTTTACCTCATGAATGGCTGAAAGATTCGGCATGTCATACATAACTCAACATGTTTATTAAAAAGTGGCCAACATATTCCAACAAGAAGTCAGGCTCCACACAAAACTGCAGTGAAATTTAAGTACTATTTTAGAATCAAAAATGCATTATGGAGTTAGATACCCATTGAAACAAACTGATCTGCAAACAAAGTATTTCCATATAATGCTTTAAAAGGTTTGACAGACATCACCTCTTTTGGGGGAAGTCCAACATTCTAACAAATAAATTTCATTATTTGACAGTTTCAAATTGTAGGTTTTGAGGCTAGGACATTCACATTTAGAACATTAACAGTGTGAGTTCTCCATTTTAATAAAATATTATGAAAACCCCAACACTAGACCAAGCTATCACTCAGCCTAAAAATACATGCAGTTACAGCAATAATCCCAGCATCAAATCCCTTCAGGCAGTGAAGTTGTTCAGCTACAATATCATATACACAGCTTTCTAACCAGCTGGGAAGGTACAAAAGACAGAAGCTCAAGACACACACTGTAATACAGGAGACAGGATACATCCTTGAAGTTTCGTCTAGCTTCTGGGCTTTTTAACAACCCCCAACTACAACATACACATACACTTCTGCGAATAAAAACTTGAGAGGAATTTTCCCTAGAATACAGAAATTCAGATTAAGTCACAACATTTACTTCCATTTACTTTGGTAACACAGCTCTTTGTAGATTACGCAAGCAGCAAAACAACAGTATGAAAAAAATAATCTTGTTATGATAGCTGAATATTTGAATAAAGGTAGCACATAAAGCATTTCTGGAAAAAACATCTGAAATCATCATGGAGACAACAGCTGAAACTGATTTGGATTAAAAAGCCAAGTACTAGAAACTGACCACAATTGGTGAACACAGTTCATGAAGTAAAGAAAGTGTTACAAAGCTAACACAGAATAAAGCTAGGCCTGATCTCATTTTAACATCTTAGAAATAGTTTTTTAAACTCATTCTAACAGAAGAAAGAATATGTGAAATGAGCACACAATGAGAAGTTGAACAAGACGGCTGAACAGCATTTGCAAACAATTTAAATACAGAACAAAAAAATAATAAAGAAAAACCCAGAAGTTTGTGCAAGAATGCTGGAAACATGCCAATATTCAGGGATTTATACAACGGGGGGTGATGGGAAATCTGAAAACTAGGAGAAATTTCATATGGTTTGCTTACCAAGTCTGCGACTGAGCAGGACTGCAAAATTAGCTAATGCAATTTAGGAATGACTCCAAGCTAGGACACACTGTTTTCTCAGTAAACTTTGGCATAACTACAATAAGAATATTACCATTTCTTCTGTGAACTAAGCTAACTGAAAAACAAATTGGCAGATCTATAGAACAGTGATTGAAGAGAAAAAACTAATTAAACTTAAAAGTTAACAGACATGCCCTCTCAACCACACAGATGGAATATCTAAGTGTATTTCAATACCATTTAGAAAAAACTCCTTTCCAGTTTTACATGTTAAAAGACTTATAATTATCCAGAAAGACTGGATTATACAAGAAAAATTACTTCCTGTAAATGAAGCGCAATACATATGAAAAAAACAAAACCCAGCACCGAAAACTAAGAACTCATGCCAGGTGAACAAGTCAGATTTCTGGCAGCAAAAAGAAGGGCTATAGAGGCATAATTCCCCATTTATGCATTATGGACATAAATCCATATACACTGTAAGAGAACCACTTGATTAAGCTGGGAGAGGAGAAAGTACCTTAAATGCAGGTATGAAGCACCATGCTAACACAAGAGATGCATTCAAAAAGGAATATTCTTTGCTTGCAAACATACTGTAGTACAGAACATTGTTATGCAGCCTAATATGTAGTAAAAACTGTAGTGTGTTTTTTTAAACATTCCTGTGTGGTGACACCCCTGAGCTCTACAGGAGAGCAGCTGTTTCCAGAAGTGAATTATGGCTCTTAACTGCAAAACACTCTTGAATGTGCATCAATGTCCGTAACCCAGTGCATTCTAGGATTTTAAGCTTCTGAAAGACATTCTGTATCTTGCAGATTTATTTTTTCCCATAGTAGGCCTTCATATTCCTAGGCTAAGTCTCAATAAGCAATGAAAGAAAGTACTACATGGTACAATTTTAAAGTAAGTTACATCCTAATTGCACTTGTATTTCTATTAAAAAATAATTCAAATTATAGTCAATGCCTGTGTTACAGATGAGACTTCAACAATACACTATACAGCTGCATTGTTTTCACTTAGTTACTCCGAAGGAGACAGAAAAATCAAAACTCTATGCTGGAATTACTCTGTAAAATATATCAACACTTCTACACAAATGAAAACTACACAGACTAAAGCACAAGACACGATATTCAGTACAAACCCAGGAATTTTGAACTGAAACTTGAACTGACTCTATGCACTTCTTCAGCAGAATTCTGTTCCAAGCCAGCATTTGACATCAGTTTACAGTAATTGAAGAAAAAACAAAAACAAAACAAAAAAACCCACAAACAACAAACCCAAAAACCGAAAGACAATGAGCATTAAATCATGGTCTGACATGGAATGAGTCCCTTCAGAATTTCAACAATATTTACCAATACGAAACAGTTAAAAACTGAGGGGGTCAAAATACGCTGACTTCTAGCCATTACAGGAGAACAACCCTCCTTATCTGGAGTAGCAATTAACATTTAAAGCTCTGTCCTTAGCAGCATTTATTCTACCATAATATGCCCACTGCATTACATGTTGTGTACTTTATGCAGGAAATGCTGTAATACCTTTCCAATGAGTACTGAAAACAAATAATGTCTCAAATGTAACTAAACTGGTCACATTTATGTTGCTCACTTAAATTTAGTTTTTAATTACTTGTACAAATAGTTTAAATCTGAAAAAAAAAAAAAAAATCAGATGTTTTAAACCAGTATGTTAGGTTACATTCTGTCATTGTTATTTAGCTGCCTCATTCATATAGTCCCGCCAGTGGATGATTAATACCAAAAAGATAACCATTTCTTGTACATTATTTAATACTCATCCTAAGTATAATTTGCAACACAGTAGTAACACTGCAGGTATAGAAGTAATGCTTCCTATCAGGCATATGAAAAGATTAACACTCTACCACAGTTGATGCTGGTGTATTTATACAGAAGGCTTCTCACATATTATTTCAGTCTATGGGAGGTAGATGTTTGTCTATGAACTGCTTTATATCCATCATCTCCTGTTTAAAGATAAAAGTATACATTAGCTGAAGCTCCATACTAATATATATTCATGTTCACCATTCCAGTTATAATGAGCAGCTGGGCTACAAGTACAGAGTAATTAGCTCTCGATACAGTTGTACCACTTTGCACACAGCAAGTCAAGGCTGATAATGCTTAAAGGCACCATGCACTCAGAGGAGGCTAAAATACAAGAAAGAGAGCAAAGACTACTTTATTACCCTCTCGTTCTCTCTGAAGTTGAACAAGCAAACTACATATTAATTATCAGGTGACCTGAATAGCACCAAGCTGAGCATGGACAGGATTTGAATGTGGTTAAGACAGCACCTTTGTGTATACTTTGAACTTCTGTGAGTTAACAGAAGTGTGAAAACCCAGTAGCTCTTCTTTCTAAATGTTCAGTTTCACCTTCACGATACTTCCTTCCCTAAGGAAACGCAATACAGCAAACTAGACTGGGAAACCAATCCGTATTGAAACTAACTAATATTTTTATTAAGACTATGCTGTAACAAAGAGCTCATTATGTGACAACTCAATGATACTACTGCCTAAACAAAACACAACTGTGTGCATCCTGAAGAGGCTGTCCAAAGGTACAGTTCCCACAAGATGCAGCAATCCAAATTAACAAAGTTACTGCTGCTGACAAATGGCAGATCTGTTCCTTGCTTCCTTTTCTGTTTCTCGCTTCTACCATTTGCTTTGTGTGAGTTCTGATGCTTCAATTCATGTCAGCTGCCAAAACTGAAATCAGCAGCTTTTGCCATTTTAGCAAGTTCAAATGGTTCAAGGAAATACCTGATCAGCCCCAGATCTGGTACAAGAAGGAAGAGAGTGCCACAGGATCATAAACAGAAGGAATTAGTCCACCCCTTTCTGGCAGCAGCAAGCCATTACATCAGCTCAACTGTGTGTTGAGCCAGACCCATAAAAATAGGATCTGAGGCTTCCTATTGTGTACCATCAACACTCCTCCCATCCCTCCCTATTCCTTTGATGGCTCCATCCATAGAACTAACAGGATTCTTCTCTCCAAAATACCAAGTTGGATTTATGCTGTGAGAATCTGCCTTCCAAGCTGGTGTTTTATTTATTTATTTATGCCTTTTAGCAAATAATAAAAATTTGAGAGAAAAAAACAGTATTTTATAGACTAACTGGCCTAGTCCCTAAACTACAGTCCTAGGAAGAAATTCCCATTAGTCATACAAACTTTTGCCTTTGATGCTTTTTCGGCCAGGCATTCAGTTAGTCATTAAAATAAGTCAGTAGCATCAAGCACTTATTTAAAAAACACCACACACACACACACACACACACACACACACACACACACACAAATAACAACAAACCCCACACAAAATTCCACAGACAACCCTCCAGAACCCCCACACAATACATATTTGTTTGGGAAGAGGGGGAAATTAACCTCCCAGCTAAAAAACTGTATATTAAGAAAATCACCTCAATACATGAGCTATGCATCATGCCCGAGTAAGTCCTGAAGGTTACGTTGGCAGGATTTACCATACTCTTCAGCTTCTCAACAGTGAGAGAACCAAACATTAAAGGAACCAATGGGTCACAGTCCCCATGGCACTGAAGAACAGCAATATCTTTGTTGACACCACTGATAGGGCCCTGTTAGGGGTGGAATCAGAGGAGAGAAGAGAAGAAAGAGATAGTAAGTATGGCTAATGACTTTGAGATAAAACAAACCCCATGGCACTATGCCCTGTGGGATGACAAATCAGTTAAATTCTGAAGAAAAAAACAAAAAACAAAACCACAATGTATAGTCTCTAAGTTCCTTATGAAATAAGCTCTGTGCCCGACACATTAAGTTCAAAAACCTGCAAATAAAACTGTGGCACTAATTTCAGAACAGAACATCATGATTTTTGTACAAGTAAAAAAACCTGTTTAAATACCTAGTTCCTAATGAGACAGCGTCTTGCAGATGGAACAAATGGCAAACAAAATTAATATTCAATGAAAATTTGCTGAACCTTTTTAAGTTTCCTAGGAATGTAATTTTAAGCAGAGATAGCCATCGAGTATTTCCTCATTTTCTCTACTTGCCAAACTCTAGAACTTCAGAGCCTTTTGAGTTACCAAACAAGCGTCAATATTTGGTAATAACGATGGCCACTAATTCCTGCACAAGATACAATCTTCAGATATACCCATTCCCCAAGTGCAAATTAGCTTAGGAAAAAAACAAGTACCTGGGGAAAAGAAGCCCGCAGAGGAAGCCAACAGCTGAGGGCTACAACACCTGCTAATTTCTGGTGTGTTGTAAGAGCTGTATACAATGATAAAGCACCTCCCTGAGATAAAGAGATAGAAGTATTAGAATGGTGATGGTAATGTCCCTTTTAATGCTGGTCTCAAGGTGTCTGGTTTCTCCTTTAAAGGTCTTTCTTCTCTTTATTCCAATCTATTCTTCCTTAGAACCAACACTAAAATGATTATTCCTGTACAACTTTTATTTTGCTCCCTGCCTCTCCTCCCCCCACATTATCACTACTTTGATATTTTAATTTACTTGCATGGAGACTGAGGAGTTGCTTTATCGACCAAATAATCTATTAACCTACCTACCACTGATGTCTTTCAAGTATGAAGGGAAGAATTTCCAAAAAAAATCCAGATCATCAAATATCTACCATATTAATGTTGCATTAAAAATACTAAAAAGATTTTCAAGCAAAGCTACATACATTATGTGCATTAAGACTTAAACAGACTATTCATTTTAGTATCTTTTTTCCCATACATGATCATTTTCCAGGGAACAGTAATTATTTGCATGAAACTAGAAAACATTCATTTCTTAAGGAAAAAAAAACCTGACACCTTAAGATTTTAAAAGCACGTAACATCAGCTTTTTTCAATTCATTGTCTGGATTTCCCATGTTAGGAAAGCTAGGTTACTTCCCTAGAAAAAGACAGCTCTTTCCAACTATACCGTACCTGAGAAAAGCCTCCTAGAATAATTCGATTAGAAGGAATCCCATTTTTTACTTCTTGATCTATCAGTGCTTTAACTGCAACATAAAAGGCCAGTAGTTAAAAAACACTGTTCTATGTAAAGTCTAGAAGATGAAAGACTTCCGTGATGTCAACAGAAAGCTAGTGAAAGGAAAATATAGTCTGCTATACATTAAAAAGTATCAAAAGATATAGAGCAGAATCAGGAATTCCAGTGCCGCTGTACGCCATTTCCAAGGAGAAAAACAGGCAAGTCTTGCAAAAGCCCCACGGCCAAGAGGACGGCATCCTCTTCTAACCATCCAGCATCACAAGTGGATGCTCATAAAGCTCTAACCTGCTATGCTACTCAGAAGCTCTTAAGAGTACGCTGGTTCCCATGTACATTTCATACTTGAGAGTATGAAGTCTTTATACGGGCAAATTGCTCTACTTACTCATTTGGTTTTAAAAACAAAAACACCAAACCAAACAAAAAACCCAAACAATGCACTTAGCTAAACTTTGATCACCAATAATACAATATATACATATTATTTTCCCTAATAATTTTGTGTTCCTAAAATCTGTTTCAGACTGATACTTCATTTTTAAGAATACTAAGAAGCACTTTTAAGACACAGAAAGTACTCCCTAAGCATACCATTCTCCGCTGCCTGCTTGATCCCAGCTTCATCTTCCTGTGAATCTGGAGAAAGTCCAATGATATCAAACCTTACAAAAATATCAACAAAAGCATTACTCATTAGAGCATCCATTCCACTTCCCTAAAACACAAATAATAAACCTGGGATAATTTCCAGATGAAAATGCTAGCTAATATATTATTTAGTACCAAACACTCATAGATTACAAGAAATAATGGACAACCTGTGTATATGACTAAAAGGCTACATCTAGTCAACAAAGCTTTTCTGAGTTTTGATCTGTAACTTGCTGCAGATTAAGCAACTCAATTTTGACATTTATTCCAAAAATATCAGCAGGAATTTCAGTTTATAAGCTGCATGTACAAAATTAGAATACTGTTTAAAGAAATATAGGAAAAACAAACCCAAGTTACTTGAGAAAAAACAAAAACAAGTGGACAGGTTTAAAACCATTTACATTATCTTCTTATTTTTTATTCAGAATGGACATTCTAAACAAACAAACAAAAAAAAAAAACAGTTGCTAGATATCCAACTAACCCGCCACATATTTCTCACTAGTAGCAATAATACTTCTGCTCCATCTCTACTACTACTACGAAATCATACAGACTACAGACTATACAACTGTGTTTCGTATTTTAAGATACACAGATTAGTTCAGAGGAATAACCATTATCGTAGATACATAAAGAGAATTAAGAGTGCACTCATGAGCGCCCCTTAAAAGAATAGAACTAAAGCAAAAACCCTTTTATACTTACATGTAATTAAACCCAACCAGTCAGGTTGTTCATGTTTTAATTAAGAACAATGAGTTCAAACCCCTAGGTATCTTTTGATTAGAATCATCCGCGACTGAACAAATACTCACCATGATGGCATAGCCATGTTCATGTTCAAAGAAACTGGCATAACTGGCCTAGTAATAAGAACGAACACAAATGACATAAGATATACACCGAAATTTAATAATGCAGATGCAGTTATATCATGAAATTACATATCCCTAATTCCATCTTTCTTTCAAACCATAATTAACATCAGCTACTTTGCAGTGTCTCTTCAAGAAATCTCTCTTGAAACCTGCCAGCCCAAACACATTTAATATTCAGGGCTGAATTAGCCACTTTCTATGGAGAGCAAGCAAAGCATTCATGGGCTGCCTTATATGTATGTGGGGGGGGTGGTACTGCATATAAATCATATACATATTTTATATATACAATTCCATTATTTCTAAATAACATTTACCACAGTTCTACACACTCCGTGGATAAAAGCACCTTCCACAGCAGCATCAGCCAACCTAAGGAAGCAGCTAAATGTAGCATACTGGTGGATATAAGTCTGGCCACACATGCTTATCTCAACAGCTGAATCTGCTTAAGCAGTGGCTGCCTTCACTGGAGGACTCATTCCCAATCTTACACTGCTTCACAGCATCTGTTCAGACACTCCACAACCACTTCAGTGGACCATGCTACAGATTAAATCTGGCTATAGTTTTTAATCTACAGAAACCAAGGAACATAAGATATTATGAAGAAATTCTTTACTGAGGGTGGTGAGGAACTGGAACAAGTTGCCCCTAGAAGTTGTGGCTGCCCCATCCCTGGCAGTGTTCAAGGCCAGGTTGGATGGGGCTTTAAGCAACCTGGTCTAGTGGAAGGTGTTGGAACTAAGTGGTCTTTAAGATCCCTTCCAACCCAAACCAGCAAATGATTTTATGATTCTATGATTCTATAAGTTCTGCAGGGAAAAACTGAAAGAAAACAAAGGGCAAGAAACAAGAAAGAGCAGATACTGCTAAGCTCTTTTTGAATGGCTCAGCAAAGCATGGCCATATGATAAAATAAATTAATAAATCACTTCCCAGTAATCAAACCAAAATATTGACTATTTATCTCCTTATCATCCCTGCTCCACATCTCCCAAGACTGTTAGAGCAGAAGAAAACCTAAATTTTGTGTTAAAATAAATTAAGATTATAGTTACTTTTTTCTATCATTAAGTAAATACTAGATAGATCTTAATGTTTTATTTACTGACTCCTCACCTTGCTTAGAAGTATTTCACTTCTCAGATTGCAAAAAGACAGCTCAAGTGACCTTATTTACTGAAAATCTGAATACCCTGTGAACCTCTGAAATTTGCTGTTAGGTAACAGAAGTTTCATCTACTATATGCCCATTTAAGTCTAAGTACATGTACCTAGTACAAAGTATATCTAATCATCAGTAGAACACAGAAAATTACTCCTTGTTAAAACAGGCTTTTAACAAATTACTGTTGGGGGGAGGGAAAGGAACAACCAACCCAATTCAGTGAAAACATAAAATCAAAATAATCTGTAATTTTGCACATAAAACCTTCCAAATCTTTTTTCAGTCTGAATTAGTAATAAAAATATGAATAAAATTGCAGTTTTGCCCTAAATAAATCACACAGCAGCTCCCAAAAATAACAAAATACTTATTAGTATCAGCATTATTTTACAGTGGTGCTTTATATTAAAAAATCCAAATCCCATCTGACTTCATCTGTGAGAGCATCTTAACATACAACTCTACAGAAAAAGGTTAAACAAGAGAAGTTACAAACTTACGCATGTGGGCAAATGTATTTTACATGGGGGCTTTTGATACCTGCAAGCGCTTCTGACCATCCATGCCTGTTAACAAAAGATACATTAAATGCAATTTATGTTTGATTTAGCTCTTGTATTTCTGTGTTGGTGCAACAGCACAGACAAGTATTAAATATGCTGAATTAGATCAATATAAACACTTTTCCAGCTAATTTTTACATCAACTGCAGTATGCTATGAATACAGTACTAAACTTAAAGGGTTTGTTCTGCCTCTGAGTGTTTGTTGCATGTATACGGCCAGGGTGACTTTATCTGATTTGATTATTGCAGTTGCAGCACAGCTGCAGAAATACCACTTTGGCTCTAGGCAAAGCCTGCTCTATATTTGGCTGGTTTTATTAACTTGGGTGCCACAAGACATGAACACAGGTATCCTGCTTCCAGGCAGCTCTAGCCCAGAGGCTACTTTGCTGCTCCTGTAGAGTTAAAGCAGCTTCTTTCACAGATTTGTTTTTTTCCAAGCCACATTTCTTGATGTGAGATCATAGCGAGCTGCCACCTAAGCTAACTCAACAGGGAGCCAACCTAATCCATCAGATCCCTTAGCCTTGGGTCAGCTTGAATGCTCTTAGATTCAAGCAGTCCTGAACTACAGTCCAAACTACAGGTAGCTTTTTAACGTCAAGCACATGCTGCATGAATGCCCGGAACAAGCAAGATCTGTATAACAGATGAGTTATCAAGCTTCCTACAAATCAGGAAACTGGAAAGCACAATTTAAATAAACAGCTCTCAAAGACTCACTCCAGGACTCATCTAGACATGAAGCAAGCTGGACCCAAATCTGAACCTGGGAAGAACCACTGCCTGTGCCTGCACTTGGCTTTCCGGAACACACAATAGGACCTGTATTTCCTGATTTTTCTCATTATTCAGTATTTCTAACTCACCCACTTAACTAGATACTGGAAAGTTGATTGTAAGCAGAGAACACCTTTAACAAATTCATCAGTGACACAACGGAACTAATGAGACCAACAATAGACAAGCCATAAAAGCACATCTGGTTTAGTTTTAAATTTAGTATCATCTTGAAGTTAATGTATGTTACCCAACGTTAGAGACATTTCAAACACACAGACAGCACAAACATTTGAAATACTGGCTGTATATCTCAGCCTACTTCCTACCAATACTTTTATATATACTATTAACAAACTGTGTGTGCTATTACTTGCGTAATATTTGCAGTATCACAGAAGGCCAAATAAGAATTCTAATGAGAAATACAACTGAGAAGAAGTAGTTAGGTAAGAATTTGGGGACTTCCTTAAGCCAGCTATAAATATTAATTTGACAAATTTGGAAAGCAACATTGTATACACATTTAGGCAGACTCCTTAGAACAATCCTCTGTGTTGTACCTTTTGTTCAGATTTTGACAAGTATGTACCAATCTTTAAGTGCCATTTATATAGGAGCTAAGAGAGAAAAAGAACACAACCTCTGTTAGACACTTCTCAGAATAAGAAAAATGCAGTTGGTGAACTGAAGTAAGCAATTTGAAATTTCACGTGAACTGTTGGTTCTCTTCAGACAATCCTTTTTTGGGTCACTACTGCAGCTCTTTTGGAAAAAAAACAGCAGGATGTCAAAGGCAGCTTTAGCTAATCTGATCTGCAGTAGCCAAAAGGAACAAATGCAGCTAAATCACTGTAATTCCAGGGAGGTGTTATGACTTGTTAATGCATACATTCCAGTATGCTCAGAGATGGAGACTGTGTTAGCTTTGTCACCAAAATGGAAATAGCACATTTTAGCACATTTAGAAATACAATTTATGTTATAGAGCAAATCTCTTTAACAAATTTAATCAAATCTGTGTTTTTTTCCCCTTGCCAAAACCAACATCAACCCAGTTTGCAAGGACCTGAATTCTAAAGGGTCAAAAGATTTTGAAATCAGCTGCTGAACAATGGTGCCAAGACACTAAGGCAGTTCTGCTGCCTCAGCTGTGTCCTACCAGCAGTAAGGAAGAGAGATAATGCAAACAAGGTGGTGTGTCAGCACAACAGAGCAAACATCTCCACTTGTAGAATACTGCCAATTGTATGGATTTCACTCTTTTTAATGTATTAAGTGCCCAGGTTACACAACTTTCGCTTTTGAAAGCTGGCTTTTTTATTAGTTCCTCAGAAAAAGTTTGTGTCTTAAACATTACAAGTTTTAACCCAGAGGCAACATTCAAGCTTCAGGTAACAAAAACAGTATTATGCAATTTTGCCTGTAAGGAAGAACACAGACAAAGCACTCATGCTACTTATTTTCAGTATCGAAGCGTGAATTTCTTTAAGGTCTTCCACCAAAAGAGCTTTCAACGCACTCGTAACTTTTAATTCAGTATCACAGCACACACAAGCTTCAAAGGGAAACATTATACCACACCTAGAATGCCCCCAATAAATTCTCCACTCTTTCCATTTCTACTCAAACATGGAAATAACAGGAACAAGGAAAGCAGGGTATTTCACAGCTTATTTGGCTGGGGGTTGGTTTGGGGTTTTTTTTACTCTTAAGACTGTATTTCAGAAAGAGAAATCTGTAGACATTAGGTGACTCCTTAAGACTTTGCTTAGATAAAAGTGAGTCTGGATTTTAATGCAAGTATGACACACTGGAGAAAAAAACATGGCCTAACTACAACTACTGGCAAACCAGCAACCCACAGGTCTGGAGAAGAAAAAAAAACAAACAACCCTCTAAATTTAGACAAGCACAGGAATAACCAGGAACCTACTCTCAGGAAAGTGAAAGATGAGAAACCCACAGACTTTTTTTTCCAACTTTGACCCAGAAACAAAAGAGGGATCACATTCAGACCAAATTAGGTGACTGAAAAGAGAGAAGAAAAACCTTTTGAGTACTCATGCTGGGAAATTCTGCATACATATTTGTCATCATCACTCCAGCACACATGAAGTTTCATCTGTTGTTAGCCCCTGCATTTAGTTAAGGGCTAATTAAGAAGCTTAAGTAACTCTTAACTACTCACACCTTTAAAGCATGCAGCCTTATATTTGAAACTACAACTATTAAGCATGCAATAGACGAGGATACACACCCGGTATCTCCCAATCCGTGAAGAAAAATGACCTAAAGGGAAAACAAAACAACAAAACGTAGTGGTGTAAGATTACTAAACAATAACCACACCTAACCTGCGTACCACAGTGGCCCGCACACGATCACACAGTTTGCAGCTCCACACGACTTTCTCAAAAGAAAACTCTGCTGCACTTATCCCACCCCAGCCCTCCCCCATGCTGGCTCCCCAGACCCCAGGTCCCTTCCAACCCGGATCCCCCTCTCTCCAGCTCTCCACCCCCTCAGCCGCCATCAGCAGGCGCACCCGCCCGTGTCCTGCACACGGCGCCGACACCGATGACCTTCCCGTGCCCAGCGCGGGCTCCAGCCCCGAAAGGAGTGGGACCTCAGGCAGCAAAGTAACAGGAGAGACCTGTCAAAGTGCCCGGGCCGGGCCGCCCCGCCCCGCGATAACTCCCCCCCCCCACAAGCACCAGGCGTCCACCCTCAGCCGGGCCGGGCCTGACCGCGGCCTCGCCCTCAGGCTGCGGGGCCTTCGCCACCGGCAGGACTGGCACCCCCCGCCCGGGGTTAAAGCCACAGCTGAGAACAAAGGGGGGCGAGGGCCCCTGGCCTCCGACGCCTGCCCTTGGCTCGCCCCGATCCGCACTCACAGCAGCTGTTGCCTTCCTGGCGGCCGGGACGATGGCGGGGAGCGGCGCCGACATGTTGTTGCCGCACATACACCGGGCTGCGAGGCGGCCAGTGGGACACCGGCCAGGAGCGGGGAGGCGGGACTGGCGCCGGGCCAGGAGGGCGGGGGAAGGCGGGCGGGAAGGAAAGGAGGAGGAGCGCGAGCGGGGAAGCGGCAGCGGGGGTGGGGAACAGGGGAGCCGGGCGTGGTGGCAGGACCCCCACACATACACCCATGCCCGGTGGCAGGAGCCCCACACATACACCCATGCCCGGTGGCAGGAGCCCCACACATACACCCATGCCCGGTGGCCGCCTGCGGGCCCCGCTGTCGCCGGGGTAGCGGCAGGAAGACGGCCATATGGAGTTCAGAGTTTGAACTGCCTTTCACCTTAGAATCATAGAATTAACCAGGTTGGAAAAGACCTTTAAGATCATCGAGACTAACCTTTACCCAAGGACTGCCAAGTCCACCATTAAACCATGTCACCAAGGACCTCATCTACACAGTTTCTGAACACTTCCAGGGACAGTGATTCCACCACTTCCCTTGAAAGCCTGTTCCAGTGCCTGAGCACCTTTAAAACTGCCTTTCAAACAGACAGATATCTCTGCCAGATTATTTTGCACTTGTATACTGTGATTTGTACATGTCTGTGGTATGTTCCCTGTAAAAATCATTATGCTGTATTGACTGTGCATATTTATTAGCTGTATGTATTTATGCTGTATTTTATGCTTAAGGTAAAAGGGATGTTAGAGTATTCTTAAATAGGTAAATACAAAAGAATAAGTCATGGGAAACAGGAAAACCAGCACAAATGCAGTAAACGGCAGCACTGTTAGACGGAACTCATTTGTTCTCATCAGATCAGATGCCTTCATCACCAAATTAAAGCTTTTGGCCTACAGCCAAAGAGTCAATGATTCTTATTCATCTTGAAATGTATTGGGCTATTCAGGCACTCTGTATTGAAATTACTGGATCATGCCAGTCCATTCCAAATACTTAGACCAGCTCCGAGCAAGTATGGCAAACACATTTCTATCACAATGAAAGACTTTGTTCTTTGTCTTCTGTTCCATACATCTTTGTCAGATACTTGCTCCCAGAAAGTCAATCTACTCCTTGTACTTGCCGGGTGGTATCTGGCTACCAAGGATGCTTTCTTGGCAGCTCATACAACAGCTGAGAGCTCACTATGCTTCTTTCACATCCTTCCCACTAGCATGTTCCACACCAGGCAGATATGTTTTTTCATAAAGCTTTTGCTCAACAACCCTTATATTTTTATCAGCATGGCTGCATCAAGTATACTGCAGAAGCCTTTGTGCCAGCTGTATAACATTAAACACACAGCCTCTTTTGCCATGGTTGTGAAGATGCTTTGATACATGGCATTTATGCCAGGAGGTCCCTGTTATTGCTAAAATTGGGTTATTTTCACAGGTAGCCCTTTGTGTTTTGATTTCTCTCTACTTTAGTGTGTGCTCTTGCCTCACCTACTGCACCCAATTCACATCTGTTAAGAAAATACAGCTCACGCATAAAAGATTCCTAAAAGATCTGGAGCTTCCCGTTATGTCAGGTGCTTCCCCAATTATGCTGAACCTAACTCTTGCTGTAGAGAATCCTTTTGGGACATGAAGAGTTTTGTGTTCCTTCTCTCTTTTGCTATTTACTGTGAAAATATCACCTCCATGAGCTGATGAACCTCTGGGCTAGGAGATCAGTACTCTGCTCATAATTAGACCAAGCTTTTAATCTTTTAGGCAGTATAGCTGGAGTGATCTTCCCTGAATTCCCAGCTGCTGCCAGTGAGGCTGAGGGGCACTGGGGAGAGGTGAGCACTGGGTGGACTGAGCATGCACTCTGCCCCTTACAGGCAAATGTTCAAGGAACTGAGCTGCTGAAAACTGACTGATGGATCTTTCAGATACTTCCAAGTTGGCTGTCTCTTTACAGTGAGGTGTCTATCATACGGGTGATACTTCTCCATCTAATTTCAGTGTTCTGCTTAAAGAGAGCTTTACAAGGCAAACTGTGTATTTTTCCCTATCTTGGAGGCTGAAATGAACTTGGATAAGATGGCTGTCCATACCTGAGTTTGCTGTGGGTTGTTACATTGTAATTTGTATTTTTTTTAATTAATTTTGAAGGGGGTAAGAAGCTGTGCAGATTTCTGGGTGAAACTCACAAATTTCCGCAACATGATTTCCATTTCACCCGCTTACTCTCAGAACTAAGCTGTTATGTGACCTGTCCTCCAAGATGTAATCTGAAACAGACATTCACCAGGGAAGAAGGTTTTGGTCAAACAGAAGTTTCAGGACCAAAAGCAGGATATTGCACCAAGGAGTATTGGGTAATTTTCACAACAGGAACCGGCCTTTCTGCTAACTCCTCAGCAGCAGCTTCTAGAATTCAGTTCTTTGCCTACACCCTGCACTCCATGCTCCAGAGAGTAACTCACTTTCCACCAGACCCATATACTGGTTGAAACTGCTGTGTGACTTTCCAGTAGGTCTACTTCTTAGGTTAAAATAACAGAAGTGGTCAAGAGAGTCTCTCATCAAAAAATCATAGAATGGTTAAGATTGGACCTCAAGATCATCAGGGGCTATGAGCCCTTGTCTCATCACCACAGTCCCTGATGTGGTGGCCACAAGGATGATAAGGGGGCTGGAGCACCTCCCATACAAAGACAGGCTGAGAAAGATGGGGCTGTTCAGCCTGGAGAAGAGAAGGCTGCATGAAGACTTCATAGCAGCCTTCCAGTATCTGAAGACGGCCTACAGGGATGCTGGAGCAGGACTCTTCATCAGAGACTGTAGCAATAGGACAAGGGGTAATAGATTTAAACTTAAACAAGGGAAGTTCAAGTTAGCTATAAGGTTCTTTACTGTGAGGGTGGTAAGGAGCTGGAACAGGGTGCTCAAAGAAGTGGTAAATGTTCCATCCCTGGCAGTTTTCGAGGCAACATTGGACAGAGCCTTGGGCAACATGGTATATTATGAGATGTCCCTGCTCACGACAGGGGAGTTGGAACTGTATTAAGGTCCTTTCCAACCCAGACTGCTCTGCCCCGTCATCCTCATGGCACTCCTCTGGACTTGCTCCAAGAGCTCCATGTCTTTAATAGTCATGCGTATTTCCAATAAGTATTTCCCTTTAAACTTTGTTGTATTGATGCAGGGTGTAGCACTCCTGAGTTGTTCTGAGCACAGTCAGTGTTTTAGATGCAGCCCAATAAAGGCTTGGTGTTATGTGACTGAGATCTGCGAGTAACAGAAAAGTAAATACTGTGAAAGGATGCGTATTTTGGGACCCACGGGTATCCTAACACACGTTCGCGCCGGACTCTCCGCATCTTCCCCGTTCATCCCAGCACAGCGCGTACACGGCAGCAGCCAGCCGAGGCCCAAGGCGGCAGCCGCGCTGATCCCGCTCCACCGCCGGCCGAGAGGAGGCTTCAGCCGGAGGTGGCAGGGCTGCCCTGCCCGGGCACGCCGCACCTCTTCCCGCCCCACAATGCGGGCGCCCTGGATCACCAGGCAGCGTTCCCAGCCTCGGCCCTACGCTGCCTCAGCTCCCTCTACACCCCCGCTGGCAGGGGACTCTGCACGACACTGTTGAGAGGTGCGGTTTATGGTTCTGCCGTAAAGCAACTGTGCGGATCAGCATTGCGGCCGCCCTTGGGAGGTGAACGGACATGAGCGGGAATGGCGGGAGCAAGGCCCTGGAGCTGCTGCGGTCGCTTCCTCGGGTCAGTCTGGCCAACCTAAGACCGAGCCCAGGCTCCAAAAAGAAGGTGAGTGCCTGCAGCTTGTTGCGTGGGGTACGCGTCCTTTTTCTCCTCGGTGGCAGGACGCTGACTCGGCAGCGGCTATACCTGGCCCGATAGCGGTTGGCTGGGCGGTTCTCAGAGGGCCTTTAGGGAGATGGCTGCAGGCCCAGGAGAGCGTCTTCGCCGGAACAGGTGTGGGAAGGCAAAGGAGTGAGTGGTGCTGTTGTGTGCGTTGGTCCTGTGCTTCCCTTTGCGTGCTTGTAGCGGGTGCATGAGTAGCCATACGCATAGAGTTGATGAGTGGCCTTGGCTAAACCTCAGGTCCATTGTCAGGGTGTGAGCGGAGACAGTAAAAAAGTAAGGAGTACCAGATGCTTATGGAATGGGGTAATATATTTTAAAAGGGACAGTTAAAAGGCTTAAAAAGTAGTGTGATGCCAGGAGGATTTGTTGTTACTATTGTTTTATCAAAACCAAAACTAGATGGTATCTTCCTTGTCTTCTTGTAAAGTGATGGAAAACTAAATAAAAGAAACCAGGAAGAAACTCTCCTAGTTTGGGGGGAATATCAATAAACAGGGGAATGAGGTTCAAGGGCTAAAGTCATAGGAACAGAGAAATGGCACCAAGCAGCACTTCCTTGTCAGTGCTTAAGGCTCCCTACAGATGCCTGCAGAGCTGGTGAGCACTGCGTAGTTGTAGCCCAGAAACTCCTCTTGCCTTGACAAGGCAAGCTAATGGAAATTCTGCTCTCCCTGCAGGTGTTGGGGTTCCCCTGTCAAGTTGCTTCACTTGGATCTGTGAATGCCCAGGGTCAAGCAGAGCTAGCAGTCACCCTGTAGAGGGCTGGAGTGGTGATTCTTAAGGTTTTTCAAACTAATCCAGACTTCAAAATGGTATTTTCAGGCTTAGCATCCAGAAGATGTGAGATAGTCTGGACTCGAGTTTTACTAGAGTGGATGCTTTCCTGCTAGTGTTTGGTCTCAGGACTGTGTTTTTCAAGGCAGCTGTTGGTTTTTGGAAGCCAGTTGTTTTTTTTCAGCTCGAAAATAGAGATTTTTATATGCTCACTGGCTCTTTAGCAGGTAATTTGGGACTTCATCTGGGAAATGAGATTCTCCCCTCCCCCCTCCCCCTTTTTGCTGTTAACTGTTTGCCTTCAGTTAGAGTTTGTACAAGTGACCTCAACTCTGTTTCTCTGGTATTTTTCTTTTTGTGCCTGACAACCTTATTCTGTGATTAAGGAAGTTCCCAAATAAGAGGATTTAAGAGCATTTGACTTCACAAACGTAAGTTGCAGCAAAACAACTTGAGTTTTGACAAGGTCCTCTGACAGTCTAAAATCTGGTCAAAGTACTGATTACATTCCGTTTGTGACCAGATGTTCCCAGCGTACTTGTGCTAACTAAAGTCACCATGCAATCTGGTGTCTGTATGGGCAACTGCCAGAAGGCGGGAGGGGGTGTGCAGCTGGCAGTCCTTTTGCTTCCAGGTGTTCACACCCACTCTGTATTTTGTGCTGCTGCTAGAGGTTGTGCAGTGACCCAGAACAGGGAACTAAACCATCTGAAAGCAGGTTAGAGGAACATTTAATTCCCTGACCTGTCCAGGACAGAGCTGCACAACTGCTTGTATCAGTGCAAGAAACTCTATAAGGAAGTATAGCATGTGAGCTGGGGACAAGTCAGTTTCCTTTGGTAGCAGGGATGGTCTAATCTAGCATAAAACTGCACTTGATCAGTATTTGGGGCTGTTCAGCCTGAAGAAGAGAAGGCTGTGTGGAGACTCATAGCAGCCTTCCGGTATCTAAAGCGAGCCTGCAAGGATGCTGAAGAGGGACTGTAGTGACATCAGGGACTGTAGTGACAGGACAAGGGGTAATGAGTTAAAACTTAAACAGAGGAAATTCATGTTGGATATAAGGAAGAAGTTCTTTACTGTGAGGGTGGTGAGACACTGGAACAGGTTGCCCAGAGAAGTGGTAAATGCTTCAACCCTGGCAGTATTCAAGGCCAAGCTGAACAGAGCCTTGGCTAACATGGTCTAGTTTGAGGTGTTCCTGCCCCTGGCAGGAGCGTTGGAACTGGATGATCTTTAAGGTCCCTTCCAACCCAAATCATTCTATGGTTCTATGATTTAGTATTAATACAGGTAAGTTTGCATCTTAAGTCAGATGTTGTTTCATCTATTTGAAAAAAAAATCATTAATATATGTCCGTACTGACTCTTCTACTAATATGTCATTTCATGTTAAGTAATAACTTTGGAAAACTCACAGACACAATAAAGAGCAGAAACCATCAAATTTTGTATTTTTGTAGTGTTAGGCTCATAATCAGGTACCATGATGTAACGAGCGTTTCTCAGATTTGAGTGAAATATTCTGAATAGTCATCCAGTATTCTGTGCTGCAGTCTAGCTGCATGAAGTGTTTTGTAGAATTAGGTGCTTGAAGCTTGGTTATCTGAGTGTTGAATGGTACTGAAGGGTGCAGCTGACCTGGATTTTAAAGGTTAAAAAGGTTTACCTGTGCTCATCTCTTTGATCCCATTCACCATTTAGCTGTGCAAGTACTTCTGCTGGTGTGAGAAGATGGCTCAACTGCAACTTAGAGCTGTAGTGCTACTTTAAAGTGCTCAAGAAACTAATAACTTAGTATAATAGTCTTTAAAAAATAATAAAGGCTAAAATAAAATCTGTTCATTTATTGTCAGTAAAAATTGCAACACTAGCAGACTGTTCAGAAAGTCTGAATCCATACAAGAATTCCCTATATGTGCACAGCATATATAGTCTGTTCTCCTGCACCTTGAAGCAGAATTGATTTGGGGTTTTTTTTTCTTTGATTTCTTTTTTCCGTTGTCAGTTTTGGGAAACTCCTGAGCACTGACTAACTTTCTCATGAAATAGGAGGAAATTTCAATAGTTAATTCAGGAAAATTCTCTAACTTAGAGGTGTAAGAGGTAGGATTAAATACTGGTATTCCTTCTATAGCAGTATGTGTTCATGTAAACTTTCAGACTGTTTGTGGTGCCTGCCTAGAGCTGTGTGTGCTCTGCAAAAAACGTATTGAGTCCTTTCTGGTTTTCCCCTTAGAAAAGAGATGTCTCTTAATTTTTCCTCCAGAATCACCTTTTTGCTTAGTTGTTTGTATCTCTGAAATCTTATGTTTTATAGATACTTCTCTTCAAAGTAGTTGACTAATGTATTGCTGATTGTTTTCAAGGAGAAAAGACGTGGCCGTGGAAGATATGGAGGTAGGAAGTGTGGTCGAGGTCACAAAGGAGAAAGACAAAGAGGAAATCGCCCCCGATTAGGCTTTGAGGGTGGCCAAACTCCATTTTACTTGGTCATACCAAAATATGGGTTTAATGAGGGGCATAGGTAAGTTCATTCACATTTACGTATAAATTGATCATTTTCTGCTTTTCTTGATCTTTCTCCTGAAGCCAGATTCTAATATGCCAAAACAAGCCTAACTGAAAATGAGATAGTCCTCTCAGATCGCTAGCTTCCTTACCAGCAGAATCTCCCACTTCATGTGAGATTATTTTTTTAATGAATTAACTTATTTTCTGTTGGTGTACAGCTTTGCATATTAACCCTCTTCTCTGCGTAATCTCCTCCCACCAGCTGAATGTGTTTCTCCTCTGACACTGTTCCTCCATGTGTGCTAGTTTCTTTAAGCCTGTCAGCACAGCAGGTAACCTATTGAACCAACTGGGAAAAGCCCCATTGACTCCAGCAAGGATGTTGGGCATGACAGTGTAATCCGTAGCCTTGCTTTGTTATTTCTCTTTGCTGTATTCACCTGAATCTCTGATCTGCTGCTAGCTAAACAATTCTGCTTCTTTTCATGACTCTACTTTCTTAGCCCTGCAACATTGCAGTGTTTTGTCTGTCTGTGCTGAGTCTGTTCTACCTATGGTCTTAACAAGCACTTTGATATCAAATCTGCTGGATGAGGCCAGTAAGTCATGTTTCACTGTTGTTCTCCTCAGGCATTGCCTTGTTTGGCATTGCCTTGTTTGACATTGCCTTATTTGACACTCTGTCCTCTTTTCACATTGTGCTTGTTTGTACTTTGTCCGTCTTACAGCTTTTTAACGTTTTAAAGTATTCTTCTAACATGTCTTTTTCGGCAGTCACTGTCCGTAGCTGGAGAGCCATGTGCCACTGTTCTATTAATTTCTTTCCCTTATATTGTCAATTTTAAAAAATTAATTGTGGTGGGTTTTTTGTTGTTGTTGTTGTTATTTAAAGCTGGTTTTGTTTCCTAAGATAGCATGTGTGTTACCTGGGTCACTAACCATTTTGTTGCTTTAGGTGTGGTCATGAAAACTTCTGCACCCATAAAATGCTGTTACAGGCAATAGTTACAAAAATATGCCACATCTAGCAGACATTTCAAGAACGAAAAGGCTAATGTGTGTTTGCTTGTGAATTGTAAAACTTGCAGTTTGTTTCACCTGCTAATATAACTTCAAATAGTTGTGCATTTTTGTATTTACATGCTTACATGTGTGCACCATAACTTACAGACCTGTCCTGGTTATTAAAGCTTTTTTCTGTGAGTCTTACTAGTTTTGAAATGTAATTCAAACTTTATTTCCAAGCACTGTCATTTCTTCCTGTTTGTTTACATTATTATAAGAGTAAATGAGAAGCACCTTAGAAGACAGAATGTAGATTTGCAGTCCAAAGGAAATGCTGCACAATGCAGATACTGAGCTTCTTATGTTAACAGTGGGCACAAGTGCATCAGTAACCAACACCAAAATCCAAGCTTCTGCAGTGACAAGAAATTGATAGCCTTGCTCTTTCTTACTTAGCTTCCCAGTAAAAGATAAACTGCTGCTCAGTTTTTCTGCTACCACTCACCAGTTTCCACTAGCAGTGGTCAAACTGTATGAGAGTTTTAAGCACTGACATCGGTGGAATGCAGGAGGCATAGACAGTGAGATGGGGAAAACTGTTCTGAGGATTTGCTTGTATTCTAAATTTAGAGCTGCGTAAACCCCAAAATTAGGTTCTGCTGAAGCTGATGACTATTGATGAAATATTCCAGCTTTCTCTGGGGATATGGGTTAATGTGTATTTTTGCAATGTTCCTCCTTTTTTGTGGTACTTAGAGGAAGATTCCATTTAGTACTGATGAGATACCAGGTACAGTGGGAATGGACTGAAGAAGTCTTGTTGGATATAGGCAAGCTGTGCAGGAGCACGTGCTGGGTTTGTTTTGGTAGTCTTTTATATGGGAGGAGAGGATATATTTGGTTCTGATTGTGTTTTGCTGTCTTTGGCTTGTTTTTTGTGGGGGAATTTTCTGAATGTATCAGTAAAGCTACCAAGCTTGATTCACTTTGAGCATGGTAGTTATTTAGAGCCCTGTTGGCTTCCCAGGAAATGCTGACACTTTGATTCCTTCATTGATTAATATCATACTGGAGATGGGGTTGTATGAACAAACTCGAAGGCATAATGGAATCCTGTGCTGTAACTAGGGCTTTTATTTGCCTTAAACTTAAAATTTTGCCTTATGGATGGGTGTGTTTTAAACATTTCATTGGTAGTGTTAGGAGCAGGTAGAAAATGGACCATAGTGTGCAGTATCTCAGTTGACCACTTCCTCTTAAAGCTTCAGTTTTGTAAATTCCTGATTGTTTTGTTTGGTTGTTTTTCCTCTCCCCAGCTGCAGACGTCAGTACCAACCACTCAGTCTGCAGAGGCTGCAGTACCTGATTGATTTGGGTAGAGTTGACCCCACGCAACCGATTGACTTAACACAGCTCATTAATGCCAGAGGTGTAACGGTGCAACCTCTCAAAAGGGACTATGGTATCCAGCTGGTGGAGGAGGTATGCATACTAGACTGTCAGATTCTTTGCCGTGTTTTGGAGGCATCTTTGCTTCATATAGTTTGCTGTGGAATTTTTGTGGTAGTAAATCCACTAGAGGGCACTGTGTGTTAGCAAAAAAAAACCCCAGGATGGAGTTTTAAGACCTGAGAGACTACAAAAATGATGGTGAAGGAGGACATAACAAGAGGTCAAACAAGTATTTTGCGCAGAAGACTAGAATGTACTGAAGGAAATGTATGCATGTTTTGGAAAGGCAGAGGGTTTATTTTTTCATTCCGCCCAGGTGACTGAGCAATTTGGTTACCTTTCTTGGTGCAGGGAACAGACAAATCATAATATTTTGCTGGATTTAATGTTTCTACAACTCTGCAGAGAAGAATAAATGTATGTCATGAAATACTTATTTTAATGTTACTCTAATATGTGTTGAAATTTACAGGGTGCTGATATTTTTGCAGCAAAAGTAAATATCGAAGTGCAGAGGGCATCTGAATTAGCAATTGCAGCCGTAGAAAAAAATGGAGGTGTTGTAACAACATCATTCTATGATCCAAGGAGTTTGGGTAAGAATTTCTTATCCACTTCTTCTGTTCTAAAAGCTTCAGCAAAACACTGTTATAGAAATGTTGAACTGTAATGCATCCTCAGTTTTGCTCTTTAGCCCTAGCAATGTTTGCAGTCATTTACCAATCAGCCAGTTAAAGAAGTCCAAGAAGCTTTGTAAGTAGAGGAACTAATAAAAAAATTTGTTTTAATTTTTGTCTTCTTTCTCACACGTTTAATAACACTGAGAAGATTCAGGAGAAGAAGATCTGGAAAACACTGTGCATGTTTATATTTTTAATTTCAAATACTTTCCAGTTAAAGTGAGGAAATAACTAAGTTACAGAAGCTCAGAATCATTCCAGTCAAAATGGCTATTGTTTTCAGAACACTTTCACTGAAGAATGAGGCTTTGCTTTACTTGAGGCTGCATCCTGCCTAATATTCATTCATGCAGTTTTTATTGACAATAATGGAGCTTTCATGTGTGAATGAGGCTGAGAACAAGAGGAATAGACATTTTAGTGGGCAAAATCACCCTGGAGTGATACAAGTTCTTTCTTTTTTTTTCCAATTGGGAAAATAATCAAAATACTGAGATTAAAATGATCCAGAATGTAATTTGCCAAATTCAGTAAAACTTGGGGAGAAGAGGATAGTCTCACAAATGATTAAATAGGTGCATGTGCCATTCATTCTTGACTTAAAAGTACTTAACAGAAACACCAAATTTGACGTTTGTTGGTACGCTGTGTAAGTAGCCATGCAAATGCATAGCTTCTAACCTGAAAGTCAGTCCTTTAAATAAATGGTGGCATCTAGCATAGTATCTTTCCAAAGTAGACATTCTAAATGTATTAGAAGTGGTAGTTCATCCAGACTGTCACTGTAAATACCAGTTCAAACAGAGGTGTTTAATTAAACGAAACTGTTAAACCACTATCTCATTCTGAACAAGAGTATTCTGAAGATTTGGGGGTTTTGCTTGATATTTGTAGTAAGAGTTGAAAAATTTATTCAGCACAAAATATCAAATTAAGAAGGTATAATTAATGTCTTTGAATATGTCTTATGAAGCATAGCATCTATGTTCTCTCATGTCTGCCCACAGAAATTTTATGTAAACCAGTATTATTCTTCCTGCGTGGCCAGCCTATTCCAAAGCGAATGCTTCCACCTGAAGATCTAGTCCGTTACTACACAGATGCCGGGAATCGTGGGTACCTGGCAGATCCATCTAAGGTTGCAGAAGCCAGGCTTGAACTTGCCAAGAAATACGGCTACATCTTACCAGACATAACTAAGGATGAACTCTTCAAAATGTTAAGCATGCGCAAGGATCCTAGGCAGATATTTTTTGGTCTTGCTCCAGGGTGGATCGTGAACATGACAGATAAGAAAGTTCTAAAACCAACTGATGAGAGGCTGTTAAAATACTATAGCTCATGATTTCAAGACTGGAGACAACTGCAGGTGTACAGGAAACATCTGGGTATGAAATAATGGATACCAAGTGGTGTTTGTTTTTTTTTAAGACTCCTGTTATACTAGACAAAACATAAATTTTTGTTCTTCTGGGGTAGCTCTCAACTTTATTATTGTCATAATACATTGTATGAAAAGTCTTAACATTTGGAAACAGCATAGAGTCTGACATAAAGTGCATGTTGAAGCACTTTCTCTTGCAGTGATTTGCTAGTTACATTATTGGATGGAATGTTGTGATGTTGCATTTATTTCAGAGGATGATCCCAAAGAGTAACTTGACATAATAATTAGTTTATACCCCCTCCCTGCCATTTATAATCAGAAACATGGCTGTACAGAACTCCTATTAGTTTTACAATCATACTACATACAGTTTTCTAACACATAATTTATAATGTTAGCTTGAATTCCTCTTGAGGTATTCACCTTTTTTCAGATGGGGAAAATCAGAACCAACTAGAAGTAACAATGTACAGAAGAATTCCTTAACCTGTTCAATACCATAGCAATGTTTTGCATTTTGCCATTGCCATCGATAGCAGTAGAGCTTGAGAGTGTCTTGATTTTTATCTTACTCCTTCAGGTGGAATTGAGGATAGGGTATGCAGTTTAAAAGAACTTTCTGTCTAAATTTAGAAGGCAAAAAAAAAAAGATATCTATCTTAAATCAGTGGCTTTTTTTTATTCAGTCAGAATTTAAAACTTGTCCAGACATGAATGTAATGTCATTAATGGAAATGCGTAGCAGAATCTGGAGTTAATGAATACTAGAAAGTGGCTGTAGATTGGGAAGGATGAGGGTGTGATGAACAAAGTACACAATTAGGTCAGTTTTCAGCTTTATCACAAGTTGCATATGTGACAGTGTGCAAATGAATTAAGATGATGTGAGAAGTTATGAGCAAATTCTTTTTATCCATGTATCAGGTTGGTGTCATTAAAATCTTGAAAGACATTTTCCAACAAATGTATGTATTGTCAGTCTCTGCAGAGTGCTGTATTACTGCTATGCAAGAGTATTCTAGGTTTCACTTGCAAGATTAGTTTTGGCGTTTGGGGTGGTGAAATGAGTAAACTGAAAGGTGAGAGAGGAAACTAAGTTATCAGAAGTTGCTCTGACTCCTCAGAAGTTAATGAGATCCCTCATAGTTACATGAACTTTAATAGAAGCTGAATTTGGCTTTAAAATAGGGATAATTTGTTTATTAGGATGCAGGAAGCAACCCGGAAGACCAGAACACAAGAAGTCGTTTTGCTTCCCAATTTTCATGTGCCTTTGGAAATGCTACTTACAGTTTCCTGTAGGTGCCAAACCAGTCCATCTCCTAGGGAAACCCCTTTGAGTGTCATGTTTCTCCTGTTTCTGTATAACACTGGTATTTTTCTGGTATACCTCAAATTTAAAAATCTTTTTCTTTCAGAGAATAACAAGAGGAGGAGGAATTTTGTAATTGGTGTTTGTCAGCCAGCCCAGATTTTTGCTTCACTCAACAAACTGCATTGTCAATTAATAGCAGCATCTGTAAACACAAATTAAGTCTCCCATTCTCATGCTCATTAACTAATCTGAAATTCAGAGCTTAACAATGGAAAGTCCCTAACTTTTGACAAGTTACTCTTCAGGTTCTATTGTTCATTTTGAATATGTGTTTAGATGCTATCAGTAATGGTAGTTCTCCTGACTTGTGGTTTAAGTATAGGTGAAACAGCAAAAGAACACCAATATAGAATTGGATTGTGAATAGCAGGAATTTGGTCTTAGTGGTGTTAACAGTCATGTTTTATAAGGTGCACAACACTTCTTTGGCACCTTAAGAGTAATACCGTGTGCCAAAAAAAGTATAGCTAGTGTTAACTTGAATGTGAGGTAAATAACTCTCACTTTAGATGTATCCTGTTCTGCATCCTGATGATTGTTGGTTTGGAACCTTAAATGACAAGCAATACTTTTTTTTCCTCTGTTTTTACAATACTACACTGCCTCCATTTGGGAAGGAGTTGGGGGGGGGGGGGGGGAAGAGTATTTATTGCCTTCCCTTATTTGTGCCATAATGTTTCTGTTTTTATGAATCAATTCACAATTGTATTTTGTGGAGGTAGTGGTACTCAACAGGAAAGCTACTTAACTGGAAGCGAAGAAGGAAGTTAGTCATATTAGTGAAGACCAGAAGACAAAAGTGTTTATGTATCATTGTGTATTTTGGGGAGGAGAGAGGGAGGGGGACGGCAACTTTGTTTCCACTCCTGCTCTTTGTATTAAAATGAACAAATTGCTTTTGCAATTTTTTTGTTTTATAAATCAACTTCTTTGATACACGCGTGCATGCACTGGTTTCTGTGTGTTTTTATAATGGTTTTCAGGTGAAAGGGTAACTTGGATAAAATGATAACAGCGAAAGAAAGAATGAAAACAGGAAACAGATGTCTGGTGACGTTGAAGGATTGGATAGCACTTATTCAGTGAACGACATCTTAGTCACAAGGCAGCTGTATCCTGGCTCTGATACTACAACGCTACAAATACCTTGGAGCCAAAACAGCCACGTTCCACAAAATCCGGTCATTCTGCTTTATAAAGGTGATCTTTTATCATATAATTGGAGAGGGCAGAAAGGGCTGTATGTTGCTTTATTTAAAATATGCAACTGTCTTTTTTTTCTTGTAACCTCTTCTGTTTACACTAGCTAGTGTTTTATGATGGTTGCTCTGATTTTTATTTACTAGTGAAAAAGTGACAAGGCTATAGAGGATTTCCTGTTCACTTTATCTCATCAGGAACACAAGGCTCCTGGCAACCAAACACAGAATTATCAAAAGCACAAATAAGTTATTGACAAGGTTTCTAATAAATCCATAGTAAACAGTCTCCCAATGGACTTTTGTTTATGTGAAGATCAGGCTCACTGATGCAAGACTAAGGCAGCACTGGCATCTAAGGCCATTCTCTTTACTTAGGAATACGTACCATGTTTTCATGTTCACCAGATAAATGATTGCTTTGGATATCCTGTTTTGATAGGGGGTTTTCATGTGCAACAATGTATTGCACAGCGAGAAGCACCCAATCTGCTGTAACCGGAAAAGCATTATCAGGTAGCTGAGGAGGATAAATGATACTTTTGCCATAAAATGCTGAAAGCCATGTCAGTTTTTTATTGTCAACATCGTACTTTTGAATGGTTCCTTGATAAAACTGATTACATATGTGAGACTGATATCAAAATAAAGGGCTCTGAATGAGTATGTGCCTTGTTATATCATACTGTGATTATATCATACTGTGATAATTAGAAATCACAGATTTCCTATGAGACTCTACTAACAGCAGCTGATCAAGGTACTTGCAGGTACTTGCAGGTACCTGACTGCAGATTCAAAATGAAGCAAGTTAAAACATGTATTTTCCCTTTTACTTATAACAAAAACATGTTACCTTTTAATTTGTTATACTTAATATTATAGCATTCGTGTTTAACGACCAGAGTTGATGGTGCCATTCTTTGATGTCCGTGAAGGACTAAATCTGTGGCCTTGATCTGGTTCTTCGCTGGCAGCATGCCAGCATTGTTTTGACATACAAGCATAATTGATGGTAGTGCTCAGGAAGTTATATAAAAGTGATCAATTATGAAGATAGCTTCCCATTGCTATTTTATTATTTTGCATTTTATTGCTAAAATTCAAAATGCTAATTTTGTACTGTTGAACACTGGGGTTCTGTAAAAATCTGTCTCTAATTTGAAATTGTTGTGCAAGTTCTGCATTTTAAATATTTAAGTGTTACATTTACACATACCTAAAATCAGAAAGATGCTGTGTCTGTCCAAAGTGGTCAGTTTTATATTCCATACGCTGATTTATGTCTTAAAATTTTGTGATCAGGTGGGAATAGGACAGAACCCACAGTCTGTACTTTATTGTTACGGTTCAGTCTATGAAAAGGTGTAGTTACAAGTCCAGGCATGACAGAATTCTTACCCATCAGGGGAAAATTATGAACTTTTTAAGCTCCATCTCCTTGCCCAGGTGTCCCCTCTTGGTCTTTTTTAGCAGAAATACATGGCATTGTCTAAAGTAAACATTGGTTTCTCAATGGAAGCAAACTGTCCTCAGATCTATTCTGTGTCCTTTGGCTAATATTCCCTCTGTTGCGTCTGCATCTTCCCGAGGTCTCTTCTTATTTCTCTCACTGTAGTGGTGGGAACTACAGGGCTCAATCATTCTCACAGTGTCATCCTGTCTGGCCCGCTCTGGGTTTGAAAATCTGGTTGTTTTATGTGCCTCTGGAGCAGGAAAAGTGTTGATCATTCCTGCATCTGTTTATACGAGGGGGTTTTTCATGGCTTGAGTTTCCTGGACTGGTGTTGCTTTTGTTGTTAAAAATGTCAACAGCAGTGTTGTTTACTAGTTAACCTTGTAGCTTCCAAGACACATGGTGTTCGGGGTCGGAAGGCCCCTTGAGTAATGGATTCAGAGCTTACCCAGAGTCAAGGAGCACCCACTGAAGGGTATCTGTAGACTGAACTCAGAATTGCACACTCTAGATTCAAGTCTGAATAGATATGGAATTTTGTATTCAATGCGTCAATGCCCAAATTGGTCTCTCCTTGAGTTTTGCAAACCCAGCCTCTGTAAGATTCACTCTGTCTCCAGATAGGATTGTCCTGTCTGGGCTCTACTTTCTAAACATGGGCAGGCTAACCTGGAAGTCTGACATTTCTTAATGTTAATCTGACAAGGGAGATGTTTTTCTTTCACTTCATTGAATGTAGCTGTGGTTCAGAGCTTCAAAAGTTAGAATCCAAGTTCCCTATAAATATAGGATAGTGAGGTATTGACTTATTTTCAGAATTAATGCAAGTCTAAATTTGCATTGCTTACATGTAGACAATTCCTTAAGCTCATTTCATAGTCAGTAGTAATCTGAATGATACAGTGAGGGGAGTCTGGAGAATTGCTGTGTTTAGCCTGAAGTGGACATCTGAGCAACTAAATTGCACTCCAAGCTTCACTGACCGTGATAGTAGTTTTAATATATAGCACACTTGTATATAGCCAAAACTGATGTATCTGCAGCTGAATCTCTGTGTTTTCAGTGACCTAAGATGCTTGAACTTAATAGTTGGACATTCTCCTTAGGGATCCACATACCACCAGTGTGGATTGCCCAGCTTGCCATTGGGAACTTCTGAAGCTTAATGTCTTATGTCTGCAGACACTTCTGAAGCTTTATGTCTTTCAGGTTGTATTTGTCTTTTAAGGAAAGCATGCTGATTTAATGAAAAACAAGTCAGAAGACACCTTTGGTGCCACAAGAGGTGACATGCTGGCAGTCAGATACTCAGTGTTATTGTACAACCATTGGAGACAGCAGCTTTCTCAGGACACAGAAATTGCTGGCATCCCCACCTGGAAGCCACTCTTTCAAGATGAATGACTCTCAGTTCCCAACCCTGTATTGGTATTGCCATTCAAAATCTGCCCCCCTACCTTCTTAGCCCTCAGGTAATATGTTACTGATGTGTGTGCTAAGTGATGTATGTGTTTCTTCTGTAAGCAAAGCATGGAAATTAAAGTCACCTGGGTCTGCAAAAGAAAAAAACGAGAGGAAGGTAGGCCCCCCCCAGTATCTGCTTCAGCAAGTGGTGCTTGGAATGGTTGGAGAAGGTGACAGATATTTGAACACATCTGTCAACTGCTCTCTGAGAACCTGCAATCCAGTGTGTTTTAGGGCCTCTCCTTTATCTACTGTGATGAACTGTGGTGTTTGTATGAAAGAGGTTTGGACTCACCATTTTTCTGTTTCCTGTGATTCCTGGATCCCTGAAACCTCATCGATGTGTTTGGTTTTTAGTGCACAGGCAATCATTTATCCCTTCTTCTTTCTCTTAGTTTTTGGCAAGGCACTAATCTTCACAGCAGGCAATCTGGGTATGGGCCCTGTACTAGGCTTGAGACTGTTCCAGTCAAAATATTATTCTACTGGGTTTATGTTGGACTTGGCTGGTGGGATACTGCTGCCTCCCTGGCTTCTAGGACTTGTGAAATGTCTGGGCTAATTGTGACTTTATTATTGGGGTTTGTTGTTATTGTTGGTGTTGGAAGGCTCCAGCCCTTCCAGGTTCATCACCAAAGACAGATGCTCACTGTGCAATGATCATGAAATGAATTAGTGAGGATATTAACATGTTGCAAAATTCTACCTGGTGAGTTCTTCTGCCTCATTTTTATGTATCTGAGGGAATCAAAGCACTGGGATGCTGTAATTTTGTCTTTATTTATTGTGGAAAAGTATCTATTAAGAGAACCTAAGCAGAAAATGGAGGGTAAAAACCTGGCAAGTAATTTTTCCTGCATCTTTTGCAAAGTGCATGGTTTCCCAGCTCTCAGCTGGGCTGGATGACTTTGCTTGCAGCGTATGAGGAAACTGCAGTGACAGCAGACCCCTGTAGACACTGCCATGCAGCCATAGTACTGTAGTTGGCCCTAGATAAGGAAAAGATGCAGACTTGGGAAAATGAGAATAGTGGTATGAAAGTCTCCATCTGAAAAGATTCCAGAATCAGAAACATACAAGTGTTCTGCAAACACCACTGAAGCTCCACTGCATGTTTAATTGCTCATTGTTTTTTTTGCTGACTGTACTGTTATGACCTATAAGTATTTGAGAAATGATTTAAAAAATGCAGTTTAGGTTTTCTTTGTTGTCCTTAGAGTTTTCAGCCCTGCAGGGATCTTGTTTCCAAGCATTGTTCCTGTATCCAGCAAGGCAACAAGCAAATTTAGGAAGTGGGAGCCAGCATTTTCATGCGATGGCATTATTCCAGGGACTGGTGCTTTAGGATAAACAGTAAATATTGTGAGGCTTGCAAAGCAGTTACTGATTCATTGCTTATACCCTGCTGATTTATTCATTGTTTGAGGAGCATAACGCCTCTGCTGTCTCTGCAGTTTACCTCCAGTCACCTCTCCTCAGCATGAAAGAAACAAGAAACATGCTGTTGTTTCCAGCCTCCAAACCTGACGGTAACAAATGTTATAGTACCAGGTACATAAATAAATATCCCACACAAACAATATCCTCCTCTGCTCCCTTCCCCAAATACCAGGAGTGCTGTGATCATCTGTGGTGCTGAGAGCTGTTGCATCTACTCGCGGGGACTGGGAGAAGGTTCGGTGTGCTTGTGGTACAGGCAAGGCTGACACCTAGTGACCAGGCGCATTTAATCCTGTGGGAATTCCCTGAATTCTAGTTCTCTATTCAACTCTTCTCTAAGTCTGGAAGGCTTAAACTTCGAGATGAACAGTTAATTGACTTAATCATCACATTTGGCCTTTTTTTTTTTTTTCAGTGTTTCTAATGTACGCTTCAAAAGATGCAGTTAAGGTAGCTTGAAAGCTTGTTCAAAACATGAAGGTTTTGCATCTGGTCTCCTGGGAGCTGTGTATTGCAGCTGCCCTGAGCAAACTGTGAGGTGGCAGACTGCAATCAAAGTTCAGAATATGCTCCTTTTGTTTCCTTAATAAAATCATGGCTGACCTTGGTGTTTGGATTCTCCTTACTCATCCAGACTTAAAGAATCCAAAATCAAGCATGATGGGATATTCTCTGAGTTGGAGAATTTTCTGCTGACCAGGTGTAACATCAATGATACTGACACCTGTTTCATCATCAGGAGGTGGCTGGTCTCTTCTTCCAAGTAACAAGGACAAGAGGAAATGGCCTCAAGCTGTGCCAGGGGAGGTTCAAACTGGGTATTAGGAAAAATTTCTTCACCAAAAGGGTGATAGAACAGGCACTGGACCAGGCTGCCCAGGGGAGTGGTGGAATCACTGCCCCTGGAAGTGTTTGAAACCTGTGTAGATGAGGCCCTTAGTGACATGGTTTAGTGGCAGACTTGGCAGTTGTGGGGTAAAGGTTGGTCTTGATCATCTTAAAGGTTTTTTCTGACCTTGTTGAGTCTATGATTTTACCATCATGGCAGATCCTGCTGGAAATTATTTTGAATTCTGTGCCTTAGCAAACTGTATATTAAAAAGGAAGAGAAAAACCTGCCTTAAAGACTTCCAGGATGCTTCTGATTCATCTTTGGTTGCCTAGGTTGACATTTCAAGGGTGTAACATTTCTGAGAATTGTATGTGACCTTTGGCAAAACAAGTAGCCATATAAATTTTGGGAAACAGCCATCCACATGTGAAAGCAGTCTTTCGTCCTTGTAAGAATAATCATTGACTCCAAAAG